TTAACAATTAGCATAGGGTTTTGGGGCCCATTATACTCTAGTTATAATAAGTAAGAAACCCCCAAAATAGTATTGGTAACTATTTAGGCCCCCAATTCAGCAGATGCAAGTACCAGGCGGCAGGGTCGCCCATTGGCTTAAGAATCACCCCAACAGATTTTCTTGAGCCCGTGGGCGTCACGGGACAATCATTTACAGGTGAACAAGCAAAGACGGACAGGTATAGGGTCAGCACGCTCGTCAGCGCACGGTCTAAAGCCTCAACTCGATAGGACTCAACCTCTAAAGCTGTGCACGCTCATCACCCTAACTGAAGCTCCTGAACACTAAACCTCAAACCCTAAATCTTAGAAACAACAAACCCATACGAACACTTGCAACGACGCCCCTGAGGTGTGTGTATTTAAATAAATATATATATATAACACAGAGAAAGAGAGACTCTAAAGCACCGAAAAAATCTCACACCCCTGAAACCCTGAATGAAGCCCCCAAGCCCCAAACCCTAAATCTAAAACTTAAAGGAGCCCTTTAGGGTTTGAGGTTTAGGAGTTTAGTTTAGGGTTTAGGCTGTTTAGTAGGGGTTTAGGGTTCAGGAACCAACACCCCTGTCAAGGCCTGCGAAATCCTCCGCCACCTCGAGATCGAGGCCCATCTGCAGCTGAAGAGTCTGCTCCAGCACATCCAGGCCATCTGCCGGAGCTCAAAGTATACCCTAAACCCTAAACCCAAAACCCTAAAGTATAGGGTGCCAGGCTGATGGTTTAGAAAATCGAATTTTCCATGGAGGTGCAGGGTTTAAAGGTTTAGCTCCTCTGGTAAGGTTAGGATTTTTGGGGTTGTGGGATAGCAAAAGCTGTACCGTGAAGAGAACCCTTGAAGCAAGGATCCCTCCAAAGAACCCTGGGTGCATCCCCTAAAGGAACCCTAAACCCTAACTCCCTAAACCCTAAACCCCTAAACCCTAAACTCCTAAACCCTAAACCCTGAACCCTAAACCCTAAAGGAACTCTAAACCCCAAACTCCCTGGCCGTGGGCTCCTAAGGTCCTAAGGTCCTAGACCCTGAAACCTTACAGGTTTTTTTTTGGGGGTTGAGGGGTTTGGGGTTTAGGGTTCAGGGTTCAGGGGGTTTGGGTTTAGGGTTTGAGGTTTAGGGTTTGGGGTTTAGGGACCCTAGAAGGATCCTTGTAAGGAACCCTTAAAAGAAGCCCTGAAAGCAGTCGGGCGTCGGAGTGCCCGAAGCCTCGCCTAGGTCACGGGACTCTGACACGAGCAGGGCCACTGCTGGAGCTTCCACGGCACCTGCAGATTTCTTTTTTTTCAGGGAGGCTTCAGGCCTATAGTCTACACCCTAAACCGCCTAAGCCCTAAACCCGAAACCCTACACCCCTAAAGCCCTAAACCCTAAGAGTTTAGGGTTTTGGGGACCCTAAACCCTAAACCCTAGGCCCTCAAACCGGTTGGGGCTTCGGCTTCCGGTCAATGCTTTGTGAGTTCGAGGCTGCGGTGGCAGAGGGTCGTCAGGAGGGTGTCTAGTGTGGATTTTGGGGATTCTGGGTCTAAGGCTTAGGGTTTAAGGTTTGCATGGAAGCACAACTGTTTTGGGTTTACAGTTCAGGGTTCTGAGAGGCCGAACCCTAAACACGAAACCCTACCTACCAGGATAAATGCAGTAAAGGTGAGAATGCTTTGGGCCGTTCGGTTTCACCTGGTTTTTACGAAAAGAGGCCTCAACTCCAAGGCGTTTCTCAAGCTTAAGTTTCAGAGTTGAGGGGATCCATCTTAAGGTTGCGGCTTTCACCAAGCCCGGCAAAGCCGGCGCCCTACCTCGACCCTTCAGTGTAGCACCTTAGGGGTCCTAGCAAAGAAAGGGCTTCTATACCGCGGCGATGACTCAAACAAAGCATTACATTCTAGAGTCAGGATAAAATCAAAGAATATCCACACTCCCTTTCAAAAACAGCATTGAACCCAACACTGTGGCCTGTACCCTAAACCCAATTATCATCCTATAATCCTGACTTGGCCCCGCTAAATCCCAATCCCTAACACCAGTACCAGCACCAGCACCAGCAGCACCAGCAGCAGCACCACCACCACCACCACCAACAACAACAACAACATCATCATCATCAACAACAACAACATCAACGACATCGACGACATCGACGACGACGAGAACGACGACGACGACGACGACGACCACAACAACAACAACAACACCAACACGGTCACGCCACCGTAACGGATCCCAGGTTTTTTTGGGGCTTGGACCTCGAAACGCCGCTCCCACCGACAAAATTGGACTTGGCGGGGGTGGGGGGCGGGTTATAGGGCCGTGCTTGGAAAAGGCTATTTTTCCGTTTCTTTATGGAAAAATGGGTTGTCGCATGGGTTTTGGACACGCTGGCGTGGAAAGGGTTACTGTTTTAGTCGTGAAAAATGGCAGTGAAAAAAATGAGGTTTTGTGGGCGCCGTTCGCTTATAGGTTTTTTTTCGGACTGTAGCTTCGTGTGAAATCAATGAGTTTTCGTGTGGGTTTGTGCGCATGGAAGGATTCAATGTGTCTGTTGTGGTGCGGAAAAGCGGGAAGCGCAGAATTCCGAAAATGCGGGATCCGTCCGATTCAGCGCAAACACAACACTGCCAACACTCGCGTGGACGGACGGAGTGTCTGGACGTTAACATGGTTCCCACATGGATGCTTTGTGGGAATGGACATAGACTGTGTGGACCTTAACATGGTGAGCATATAGATGCTCAGTGGGAACGGACGGAGTCTGTGTGGACGTTAACATGGTTGGCACATGGATGCTTTGTGGGAACGGACGGAGTTTGTCTGGACGTTAACATGGTTGGCACACGGATGCTTTGTGGGAACGGATGGAGTCTGCGGTGACGTTAGCATGGTTGGCACATGGATGCTTTGTGGGAACGGACGGAGTCTGTGTGGACGTTAACATGGTTGGCACATGGATGCTTTGAGGGAACGGACGGAGTCTGTGGGGAACGGATGGAGCCTGTGTGGACGTTAACATGGTTGGCACATGGATGTTGTGTGGAAACAGTGGGAACGGACGGAGTCTGTGTGGCTGTCAACATGGTTGCATGGATGGAGTCTGATCTGGACGTATCCGTTAACATGGTTGGGACATTGATGCTCTGCGGTGACGGAAGGGGTGCCTAAAACCCCCCCCCCCCACCGCCCCTCGAAGTCGGAGTTTGTCGGCAGCGCCAGGGTTTTTTGCATGGCCTGACAAGGCGAAAAGCGTGGGATCCGTTACACAGACAACAACAACAAGAAGAACAATACCCATGCCCGGCACAATTCCCGTCTTGCAGAATCTTGCAGAGTTTCTCTTGAGTGATTTTGGGGGTTGTGAATTTCTTCGCACGATTCATCAGCTTGTTCTGTGTTTTTGACAAAGCCGTACACTGAAAGGTTCCCTTTTGTCTGCCAAAGGTCGGCTTCTACAGCGTGGTCAGGGCATCAGAACTGCTGCTACCATCACTAGGTTTCCACAAGTTCCGCGCTTAAGACAGTTGGTCAGCAGCAAAGCAAGTGTCATCTGCGACGGATTACGGCTGAAACTCAGGTTTTGGATTTTTGCCGTGTTCAACGCGCTCGGTGCATTTGCCAGTACTTTCCTTAGTGCTTCTAACTGCTTCTAGCTGCACTGTTCTTGCAGCTGAGACTCTGCGTAGGTATAGTGATGCCAGAGACAAAGCAAGAGACGCTGGAGGATCAAGGGCCGAGGCCGCATTCCCGCTTGTCAAACTGTTACTGACAGCAGCAGGAGATTCAGCTCATTTTCGACCCGTGGCTGCGAGGGGAGGACACCTGTGTGCTGCAGTTTTGCAGGTTGAGGTGGCATCGTCTTTGCCACAAAACAAGCTTGGAAACGCTGAGCCTGCAGGCACTTACCGGAGCTCTAAAGCCAACTATGTTAATTTCGTTCGCTTGAAGGGGGAAACCGCAGCTTCAGTCTTCAAAGTATTTTGCAATACAGCAATCTGGTATTTTCAGCGACTTCGAGTGTTCAGGAGACTTCCCGTCAAGTGGTGTTCTGTGGGCAGGCCCACTGGGAACACGTTGTCGCAGGACGCATGCTTAGTGTTTGCACTTCAGGCCGATTCAGATCACGAGTGGCAAGAGCCCAGCAAATTCTGAGTACTTGCTCGCTTGATTTGCTGGTGTTTGCTCGTGATCTTTCGAGAAGCCCGGCCGTTTGAATATTCGATAAGTCTGAAGCAGTTTGACTCAGACACTTATGTATACATTTTGCCAAAGGTCTTGAGAATACCTTCAAGACCCGCAGTCTCTTTTGTCAGTCATGTGTGACCTTCGATCATGTAATGATTGCACACTGCATTGTCTTTCCCGCATGCCAGACTGCGGTTATGGTAGTAGGATCCGGTATTGATTTCGATTTCTCCCAAAAGGCATCGGAAGTGTGGCCATCATCTGCTTTTGCCGGAGCAAACATCATGGCACGTCGCTCGCAGACGGCTCAAAGAGCTCAGGGGACTTGCCGGCGGATCAATCGACCAGAGAGCCGTAGGGTCGCCTAAGACTTCCTCCAAAGCCAACACACGATCCAAGACAAGCCGAACCCGCCGCCCCAGACTTTATCCGGGAACCGGCTCAGAATTCAATCCCAAAGCCCAGAATAGCAGAGCTAGCTTTCACGGGCATCGAAACACAGAGAGAATTCACTCTGCGAATGCTTCCAGGGCACTTCGGGTGCTGGCCTGATCTGCTGACCTACTGGACGTACTGGAATAGCCTGTGCGATTCTGTCATTGTGAATGCAGGGAAGTCCTTGGAAACTGCAGTGGATGATCTCGTGTCATCGCACAGTTGCCCGTTGCTGAGCAATTCTTCTACTGAACACCTCATCGAGATCCATGGTACATATTCTGGTGGCTTCTGATGCAGCTGCTTTTCTGACAAGGCTCATCGCGGTGCTGGAGCCCAGTGCGATGCCAGGCGCAAGAGTGCACCGTTTGTACGAGGCCGGGGACCCTTGTGAACTTGTGCTCCCACCCATGTCGTCTCTGATCAGAATTCTGGATAAGCTTCAGTTTCGTCTCCAGGATGCTGCAGAGCGGATTCTAGAACAGGCCTTTTCGTAGCGTCCACCTTGACTGAGAGCCGCCAGAAATTGACCCTAGCCCTAGGATCCCTCAGCCGATCTGGCCATGGTCAGCTTCTCAGGATTCGAGCTGCCGCGCCTCGCCTCGCGAGTTACACACTGTGAGTGGCAGGTCGGATTTCCGACAAGCTGGAGAGAAGCAGAGCTGCTCCGACCTCAGACTTGTGACCTTCGTACGCTTCTCAATGCAATGGCAAATGGCGGCATGAATCCCAGGCAAGTCTGCGTTGGTCCCGTCTGTGACTGTGACAGACTGCGGCTTGTCAAGGTGGCGCTGAGAGTTTTCCTTGAGTAACACAATTCTCGATGGACGGTGCCAGGATCACAGCGGCATTTGGGTGTGCATAGTACAGACGAGCAGCATTCCCGCACTCCTCGCAGCACGGTGCGCGGCTGAATGAATGAAGCGTAATTTTGTGATCTTTGTCAGCGCTTGGGCACTGGCCTTGATGTGCGCATGCGTTTGGCAGGCTTAGAACCAGCAATCTGGCAAGAGAAGGACACACTGTTCTTGCAAACGGGCCGATATGTACATATATGTACAGTATGCAGTGTGATTGCGCAGGACTTCGTGTCGTGTTGGCAACCAGGAAGGATTCCGTGCATGAGGTAGGCAAACATGCACGACGCTTACACGGCATCGGAGCGGTGCATCTGGGTCCAGGTCCCCAAGGCACTGTCACAGCATCAGTTTCAAGCTGAAGAGCGGGGAGCCCTCCATGGCCTGAGGCGCGAAGCATGCGGTGGTTGAAATGTTGACTTGCAAGTTAACATAACACGTTACAGGTCGCAGACAGAGCTGAATGGCAGTCCGTGCAGTATCGTAAGATACGACCAGGACTCACAGGGATGCTGCATGACGCTGCGGCATTGGAGAAGCTGTTGTGTTCCCACCTTCCCAGGAGTCTCGCCGATGGCTTGTCCGTCTGGACATAGAATCAGAGGACATGCAGAGCATGAAATTGGCTTTGTGATGTTTGCAGCTTCGGTGCTTGTGTGGGTATGCGGTTCACGCAGCTCTTGAGTTAGTGCACCCACCAAGCGCACTTTTACATTGAACATTTGTTCATTCAGCTTGAAAAGCTGGGGCTTGAACATGGTGCCCAGTCCATGGTGGTGGTTAAAACATGTTGACACAGCTCAACAGTTTAAAGACTCTCTCTCTGTCTCTCTGCCTCTCTCTGTCTGCATCTATATCTAAGTCTAAATACACAAACATATATATACATACACACATATATATATATATATATATATGTATGCCTATGTACGTGTACATTTATATGTATATGTACATGTAGATAGGTAGGTGGATAGATGGATAGATAGATCAAGCGCTGGAGAGCTAGAGAGGAAACCGCTCTGGTGATAGAGGCACAAGACGAGACCGTGGCTTGATGATATGAAGCACCCGGCATAAACTCGCAGCATTTTCCGCTGGTCATTCAGGACAACGAAATCCTGGTGTCAGCTGCGAATCTTCTCCCGCTCTGGTTACCGGAGCAGGCTCGTTGCAGAACTGCTGCTTGACTTCCTGTAAGGTTGGTATGCGAGTCGTGAATCTGTTGCCTGCTGTCGAGAGCCCGGGTTGTAGCCTTGGCAGGCAGAGTCTCTCGCAGAAGACAAAGCAGAGAGCATGCCCAGGGGCGCGGAAAGTGATGGAGCCGATGCAAAGAGCACTGCGGCAGAGGCTGAAGTAGTTGATGATGAAGCATTTGATGATGCTCCCGATCGTGAAGAGACGGAGAAGCAAAACAACAAAGGGACAGAGATGTCGATTTGCGAAGCAATTGACGACACCCGGGCAGAAGCACAGGACAAGACCAAAAGATCAGCTGAGGGACCAGGACAAAGAAAAGCGCAAGAGGCCGACGGCGATGCTGAAATGGCCGACCTCGCAAAGCTTAGGAAGGGTTGAACGTTTTGGTGTCCTAGTTTTGCTGGATGGGACGATGCTTTGACATGCTTTGGCCAGGAAGCTACTCCATCTGCACCTGCTTCCAAGGTGCAAGTCCGTTGTTTGTCGCTTGAGCTTGGCTTGTCCAACAGGCAACACAGTCCCAAAAGCTGTGCAAAGTGCTACACAGTGTCTTCATCTGCAGGCGAAAGCAGGGAAGGGGACAGTCAAGATGTCTCATGTCGCTGTCTCAGTGCGACTTGCGCAAGCTATTTTTTTTCCCATGCCGGCTTTTTGTCAGGGGGTGTCTTTCTCTTGCTCTGCTTGAGGCGCTTGTCGTTACTGGATTTCCACTCTGGGATCTCCAACAGATCACCCAGTGCGCCCACAGAGGTGAGCCAGACCATCGTATCTCACGCATGGGCAGGTACTTCGCTCGATTCGGTGAGCTACGCACCATCTTGGGTGCGAACAAAAACAAAGGTGGCAAGAGGTCCGGATCCGCCTTGCCTTTGGTACGCCGCATTCATGGCGCTCTTGACAGGAAGCTGCTTGTGGCGTACTGCCGCAAAGTCAATGCGAAAAAGAGCCAACAGCACGTCCATGGAGCAGAGGCAAGTATGCATCAAGTCCAAGCGATGTGACGTTGTACATGTGCAGTACTGTATCCAAGCAGTCGGAGTCAAGCTGAAAATTGACATAAGAGTTCCCCTGGTCCACCTCATCCGGAGACATGATGTGGTTGCGGCGATGGAGTCTGGAGCATCGGCATGGGATAACATAGTGGGCTTCGCTTCCCTGGCCTGCAGATCGACGGAAACAAGCTTAGCGCGGTCTTTGCAGTCAGATGCTCAGCTCTTGTTGTTGAGCCGCGAGGTCAGTGCGGCACCCTGTTTATGCTCCGGATGAAATTCTAGTGCTGTTCACTGTTCACCTGAACCTGCACAATCCTACTATTTTCGACAGCGTGTCCACGTAAGCCAAGCCGATCAGCCGAACATGCGACACAGCCGCTAAGTTAAGCTAGTCTGCAGATCCGTGTTCATCCTGCTGAGTAGGTTGAAGACGGGAACTGCAACTGACATGAGTTTGCAAGCCGGGACATGGTCCTGAGTCCTGCGACCGGCGCAGGATGACTCCAGCTTTGCAAGGCAGCAGGCCAGGGTCTGAGAGGCTGCGAGGATCTCTGCGAGGCGACGTCTGCAAGATACTTCGTGCTCAGGAAGCAAAAGCTGCGGCAAGGCCAAAGAACAACTCGTAAGAGGGCCGGCCACAGCTCGGGGCAGACGGCTCCATGCTATCTTGCGGAAAAAAGTCAGCCCTGCACTGCCCCGCACGCCTCAGAAAGTCTGGCTACACCCTGTCTTGAGACCCCCGCAGTTCACACTCTGATGTGGCTGACGTTCCTCTTCAGCAACACATTCCAAGCATCAGCATGTCCACTTGGTCTTCTTTTCGTGCGGTTACTGGAGGGTTCCATGCTCAGTCCGAATTCCTTTAAGAAGTCACTCCGGCTGACGACACGAGATGACACAGATGATCCATGCAGGAAGTAGGACACGCAGGCCGGACTAGCTTCTCCTGTGTAGCGGCTGCCAAAGCTTTTGCGGCCATGATGCACAGAGCTTCTCTCAGATACTTCTGCTCGGGTGTTTGATTTCGACTGGCATTCCAATGGCTTCGAAGGCTTAGAATCTCGAACCATGGGTATTTCAGGTTGACGCCCAGACTTAAGTAAAGTTTGTCAGGCCACATCTGGATCTGGTGCCCACGCACAGCTCCAGTGTTGTAGACGAGGCATGATGCAGCCCTCTGAGGTGTTCTGCGAGTTTACCTTGTGCTCTTCCTCAACCTGAAGGTGAATGCATGGTGTGCTTTTCATGCCGCGCGATTCTGTCGTGTAGTATGTGTGCACAGGGTTTGAGAGCAGCAGGGCTTCTCAGGCAGCCCTGTGCTTCACTCAGATGGCAGCTTCAATCGTACTCTTGCAAGTCCCTACGATGCCAAGGCCCACCGGGTTATGTACAGGTGGCCCCGGTCCACTTCGACTGCGCCAGGCCTTGACGGCTTGAGACGTTGAACTTGCGGCCCCCCCGCCAAGTCGCCAGGTCAGGGGTGGCCTTGGAAGCCAGATACCTTGCCCCGGCCGGGGAGACGAGCACTGCCTGACTCCCGGTTGTGGAAGTGACCAGGTAGTGGCTGGCAGTGGATGCAGTGTGGCAAGGTCTTTGTGCTGCCATTGGGCGTCACGAACTTCGAGGCCCCAAATCTCGTTGGGTAATGCCAGGTCCTTTCTTTTGATATCTCCACAGGTCTCCTTGCAGCCCGAAGTTCCTGGTAGTCAAGTGGCAGCCTGGCGGCGACATATTTCGAGATCTTCGCCTAGCAGAAGCTACCTGGAGAACCTGGAACTTGCTTGGATGCCTCGAGGATTGGCTCGTCACGCTCGGAAGCAAGCAGCTTGTCGGGTGGTGATCTCGGAACGGTGCGCCAGTTGTCTCGACTCCTTTCCTGTAGAAGGGCTCCTTGTGCCCGTGACCAAGGCCGTCAGGAGTGGTGGACGATCAGAGGACGTGCAGAAGAGTGTGCCAAAGCAAGCTCCAGGCTCTACTTATTCGGACTCGTGACAGCCAGGAGATTCGGAAGTGATGAGGCGCACGGTAGTAGCAGCGAGCAAGGGTTCATAAGGGTTCATTCAAAATTGTCGGTTGAACCTGGCACAGCGGCCTTTACCACAGAGTTTTCGTTCGTCCCATGTTTGTCAGGGTCTGCAGATCAACTTCTCAGGGAGCAAGGCGGGTAACCCGCCTGACCATCACTACTTCACGCCTGCCTTGCAGTATGACTTGCAGTAAATTTCGGGACTCTTTCCGACATGTCCTTCAGGCACAGAAAGAGAAAGTGGCATTCAAAGGAACCACATTGGCACCTTTGACATTCCAGGCGCCTCGGACCTCCGCGAGTCTTCTTGTCCATTTGATTGCAGTTCTGCGGCTGCCCAATGCATGACGCAGGTTCGGAATAGAGATTTGTACCCGCAGCTTCTGCATCTTGTGCAGCATCCTTACAGGGCACGTGAGTTCCAAATGTAGCACGCAGCTGCAAATTGACCAAGGTATCGCTATGCAAAGGCCAAAGCAGTGGGGCGGGGGACGGGGCGCGGGGGCAGTACAGAGAGCAGCACATGAACATCCCTGGCCCTGAATTCAAGCAACCGTAGTCTTAGACTTAAAAGCTGTGATACCATGCTGGGGTGGCTTTAGGGTTGGAATCAGGGTTTTGCAGGACTGAGCATCGGCATCGTGAGCCGGGTTTTTGCTCCAGACCGGAAGTGTGCAATGGAGCAGCTAAACAAACTTTGCGAATCACTGGGCCTGTCCACGGACCTGCTCCGTGGCAGCAGACCAAATCCTCAAACGAGTTTTTGCAGACGCATCCGCCAGCCCATTGAAGCTGCAACCCGTGTTGCACTTTGCCAATGCCCCTGTATCGTGGCTAGGGCCGCGAGGCTGCCGTGCGGCAGACTTCCGCCATCATTTCAAGTGCAGGGGAACAGTCAGAAGCTTTTGCACCCGCTCGCAGCGTGTGGCACAGGCAATGCAGTGAGCGTAAATGAGTACCTATAGGTCGCCACCAAAAGCTGATGCTTCATGCTCCGGACTACATTACCAAACATCCGGTCGGTCAAAACCTGCAAATGCTTCAACGGTAGCAGTTTGGCTGCCTTGTCTGGCAGTCACAACTACTTGTGTAGCATGCTGGAACATGGGCCTGTGAAACGCCAGGTGGAAGACTGCAGCAGGGCAAAACTTACTGCCTGCAAGCATCTCTGCTGCAAAACGCCGAAAGCAAGGGTTGCAACGAAATTGGTCATGCGGCTCCTTTCTCAGGCACTACGACGCATTTGCGGTACAGCAGGCTGTGGTGGACTGGAGTTCCTGGCTGCAGGATTCAAAACTGAGCAAGACGTTCTTTCGAACCCATCTATTGTACCCGTATGTTGGACTCAGCTTCAGGACACCTACAGCGGCAGCATGAACACGGCCTGGAAGGACGGACACACTGGACACACTCCCTTTGATCAGTGATTTATGAAGGGCGTTACCGGAAGTCTCACGCGGCAGCTTGACAGCTTACCGGAAACGGGAACGGGAAAGATCACAGACTGACGGTGTCAACATGCATCAAGCTGTCTTTGTGTGTGTGTGTGTGTTTTCAGAGCCGAAAAGTTTACCTTTCTGCTGCTCCGCCGTTTGCCAATCTTTTTGACCTTCGTGTCCGTAGCCGCCTGTCGTCAGAGAAGGGCTGTCAGACATGGGTACTTGTCCTTCAACATCGACGGTCGCTTCCAATTTTTGGCGCTGCAGTACATCAACGCTCAATTCATCTAAATTCACGGAAGTGCCCAGGGAAGCACATCTGGATTTAATCTGTCTTGATGCTACACTGTGGCGGGACATTGTTACCGCTTTTTGTTGCTCTTGCTATCTTGGTCATCTTGGGGGCAAGATGATCTGTAATCTTGGCAATCTTGTCATGTTGGTCGCCCGGATTTTTGTTTTAGCAGTACTAGTGTTGCGGAGGCCCGCCGCGCGCTGTTTAGGGGTTTAGGGTTAGTAGGTAGTATGTACAATTATTAGTATTCGTATTAGCTAAGCTATCGGCGTTGTTCTGCTTAGCAGGTCCGTGCAGGTTGGGCGGGCGTAAAAGCGCAAAAAAGGTAAAACATGAAATTAGTTTTTTCCGCTTTTTACGTCCCGCTCTGCAGTGTTTTGGGCAACACAAGCTCCGTGTACAAGCGTAAAAGCGCAAAAGCGTAAAACCAAATTTTTGCTTTTCGTTTTTACGCTTTTACCTTGCTTCCTGTCTGTTTTTCTGGCGCGTGTTCGTGTGAAAGCGTAGAAGTGGAAAAAAAACGTAAGTGTAAAAGGCGTGCTTTCCGCGTAAGAGCGTAAAAGCGTAACGGCCTCAATTCGGCGTAACAGCGTACAAGCGTAAAAGGCAAATTTCGTTTTTTTCGCTTTTCGCTGTTTTCGCCTGAATTCTGAACCTCGAGCCGCTGAAACGTAGGCTATACCCCGTAACCCTCAAGCCTAAACCCCGTCCGGCTTACTATGTGCGCCACGGCGTCGCCAAGAATGCCCGGCCCAGGCCTGGAATGGAGTCAGGATTCATGGTTTTGAAGGCTTCCGGGGCTTAGCAGCTTGGGGCCTGAGACTCACGGATCCAAGCCATCTCAGAGCTTACTGAACAAAAGTTTGGGGTTCAAGGGTTTAGGCCTTTAAGTCTTTAAGGTCTTCAGTTCGGGGTTGTTCAAAACCTGTGGTAGCTTATAAGTGACGCAAAAGATGTTTTTGGAGAAGACCTTGGGTCACTTCTGCATATACACAAAACAGTTTTTCGGCTGTCATATCTCTGCAGTCTACAGTATAATTGCGCGGCGTGTCCCGACCAGCCGACTGGCCCCACCGCCTCCCTTATGGCTACCACCCAAGCTGAGCTGGATTTCGGAGCAGGTGTGGCTAGTTTACGGAGCTTTGGGCTAGAAACCCTCTCCCCTGGGAGACTGTTAAGCCATGTGAGGATGTGCTGTGTTTAGGCTGCCGGAGTGTGTTAGTCTTAAGCGTCCAAGCCATCGTGAGCAGCCCCAACACATTGCTTGCAGGGTGTAGGTTTGTAGCTGGCGGCGTGTGGCCACATGGAATCCCGCTCATGCCGAGATTGGAGGATGTTATTTTCTGCCGACCCCTGCTTGGCTTCGCGCGGCCACGTGATTGGATCTTTCGAGCAGCGGAGCTGATCCTGCGAGAGCTATCAAGAAGCACCATGCACTACATACGAGTTGGAACTCCCAAAAAGCACAACTGTCAGCGGTGGCTGACCGGACAACTCGAATGGACAACGCCTTCCGCTGCCAGTGTGGGCGCGAAGGGAGCATTGGCCGAATGTGCCGCCATATTTGCTCGGCTGCACATGGAGCCGGCCGGAAGCTTTTCAAGAGAGCACAAGGTGGTGTTCTACCGGACGTACTGCCCGATGTTGCCAACAAACGCAGGAGGCGCTGCGTGCACGACATAGCCACGCCAAGCCAGGACGATATTGCAGCGAGAAACACTGCTAGCACAGGGGAACCCCGGATGATGCGAAGCACCTACGCCAACATCGCTCAGCAGTTTCAGCAACAGGGTGCTGACAAACACCTGCATGACGGAGCCCCCTCTGGCTACAGGTGCGGGGCCGGACGAGCAGGCATTGCGTGCGACTTGGTCAGTCAGGCAGGCATAGAAGACACAAGTTTGGACTACAAGGCAGCGCAGGGGGTGGAGTTCGGAAAAGCTATCACTGCTGCTTTCCAGGTTGGTGACTTCTGCAGGTGGCCTGGCAAGGCCTCTACGTATGCCTGCATCACTAAGATGAAGGAAGGAACTGTTGAGGTGATGAAATTTGCGCCACATCCCAAGTCGGGCTCTTGCACTTGCCCTGGGCACGCCCAGGCCGGGCAGTGCTGGCGTCCGAAGGTGGATCGCCATCATGTGCTGAAGCGTGAGGGACTCCGACGTGCACAGTCTTTGCTACCGAGCCCCTGGGCCCTTGGACGGCTCTTCC